TTATTAATGAATTAGTAGAAATGACTAATAATTAGTTAAATTTACTAATTTTAGAGCAAAAAGTAAATTATTTATTAGTAAATTTTACTAATAAATTAGTAGAAATAACTGTTTATTAGTCAAATTTACTAATTAAAAAGCAAAAAGTAAAAATGTTTACTAATTAAATTAGTGACTGACTTTTTGCTTTCGAATTAGTAATTTTTACTTTTTTTTTAACTTTTCAACTAATAAATTAGTAGAAATAACTGTTCATTAGTAAAATTTGCTAATAATTACTAATTTTCAAATTCAAAAACAAAAAGTATTCAAATTATTAAAAATTTCTTCTACTTCTTACTCCCTAAATTTGAATTAGTAAAAATATTTACTAATTTGAATTAGTGAGTGACTTTTGCTTTTTAATTAGAAAATTTTATTAATAAATTAGTAGAAATTACTATTAATTAGTAAAATTTTCTAATTTAAAAGCAAAGAGTAAATTTACTAATAAATCAGTAGAAATAACTATTTATTATTAAAATTTACTAATTCAAAAGTAAAAAGCCAGTCACTTAGAGAGTAAATTCTCACTAAAATATTAGTAAAAAATTTAAAACTGCTAAATAAATTAGTAAAATTTTTCCAATGTAGAAAAAAAATGTAAAAAAAATACGAAGACGGGAATCGAACTCTTTAGTGTATTTTTTCCAATTTTCATAAAAACTTTGATTTTTTCCTTCGCCTTTTTTTCCATTTTCGAGAAATTCTCCCATTCGTCGATTCAAGACACTCTCTTTGGAAAGAAAGTTCGAAAAAAAATGAAAAAAATCAGAAAAAAAATAAAAAAAACAAAATACCAGCGTAGGAAGTACAAATCGATATCATATATATATCTATATATCGGACACGTGTTTTAGTTTGCTTTTTATAATCATACTTAAAACATGACCAGAGTACAATAACGTATTTTTACGTAAAAAAATTGAACATTGAAATAATGACGAGAAATATACATAAATATAATTTGTCACGAGTTGTGTCAATTCGATTGATTGAATGAAATTTTTTTTTTCTTTTTTCGTTTTACAATCCTCTTTTTTTTCGCTAAATGTAATAACGAATAATAATAATAATTGTGAATCACGAATTTGTAATTTTTTTTCCGAATTTTTTCCTGGGCGGGGGGAAGTAGTACGTAATATACAATGTATTAATCTTGTGTATGTATAATATTTCCTAAGATAAAATTTAAACCGAGTGTGTATGAAAAAATGTAGACTATTACAATTCTCTCTCTCTCTCTCTCTCGCTCTCTCACTCTCACGCTCTATATTAAGGGTGGGAAATTCTTACAGTATTGTAATATTTTTTTTTTTAATGTAAAGTAGTTTATGTCGTACGAAGTCGATTATACCGAACATAATTGGTGATTGTATGCGTTCTATGTTATATTTAACTGTTAATTATTTATATTCATCAGGCTCTACTAAATTGCTTTGAAAAATCTGTCATTCATTTTGTTGCCGTTCTTCTTTGAAATTATATTTCACTTTTTTTTTATTATATTATTATGAATTAAAAATATTAAATTAAAAATTAAAAATTATTTTTCATAAGAAGAAGAAAATGTGTTTGAAATAAAAATTTGGCGCATTGAAAAACAAATAATGAGAGATCTTCCAAGCAGCCTCTAATCGGTCTGAGTAAATGTGCGATTTCAATAAATACGCATACGGGCACTGTTAAAATTGTTCCATTTTTTCATTTTTATTGTACAATATTGTAAATATGAATACGCACGACTATTAACGAATCTATCGATACAAATCGATTTGTTTTATTATTATTTAATTACTAAATATGTACGGTACCAGCTATTGAATATTACAGATTTTTTTTTCTTGTCTCGAGCAGAAAAAAAGGGAAAACTGTGTTATTTTGGACTGAAGGAAAAAGAAATTTTTCTTTCTAGTTTTTACAGGAATATAAAAATTTTGAAGAAGAAAAAATGAGAAGGCAAACAATTGTGTATCCGTTAGAATCGAGTATTGACTATTTTTCTTGTACTATCACGCAACCATTGACAAAGATTTACTTTCATTTTATTATTTTTAATGTTTATTTATTAAAAATAAAATCAGCATCTAATATTACTAAATGAATCTAAAATATTTTACGTGCTTTCTGAAAACTATTTTATTAAAAAAACATCAAAGTACCAATAAATTTTTTACGTTTTAAAAAAAACTTTGTTAAAACTAAAATAAAATTGGCCGAGAAAAAAAATATGGCGAAAAAAATTATTTTCCTAAAGAATAAAAATATTATCGTAGTAAAGAAAAAAAAAACACCACCAATGAAAATAATTTTGTAAATAAAAGATTCAAAATAAAAATTATTTCATGAATAAAAAAGTTTCTAAATAAAAAAATGTTTCTAAATATAAATTGTTTCTAAACAAAAAATATTTCATATAAATAAAAAAAGCTTCTAAATGAAAATTATTTCGTGAAAAAAAAATGTTTTTAAATAAAAAAAATGTTTCTAAATAAAAAATGTTTCTAAACAAAAAACATTTCATAAATAAAAAATACTTCTAAATGAAAAATATTTCGTGGAAAAAATGTTTCAAAATAAAAAATGTCTCTAAACAAAAAACATTTCACCAATATAAAATACTTTTAAATGAAAAATATTTCGTGAAAAAAAGTTTGGAAATACAAAAAAAAATATCGTGAATAAAAAAAGCTTTCAAATGAAAAATATTTCGTAAAAAAAAAAGTTTCTAAACAACAAATAAAAATTTAAAAATCTTTCGCAAAACGAAAAATTCCCAAATAAAAAAAAAATTCCAAAAGCGAAAAAAATTGGTAAAAAGAACTATTACCAAAAAATAAAAATCCTTCAGAAAAATAATTTGCCTTAATCAATGATTTGACTAAAAAGTAAAAAAATATTGGTAACATTTTTTCTTCATTAAATAAATTTCTTTTTAAAAAATAACTTTATAACGACGTGCTTCCTTTCTGAAATAAATTACAAATAACTCTATAGAAAAAAAAACGTAGAGCGAAGAAAGCACATGGTTAATTTACCAAAACAAAAAAAAATGAAAATAATCATTGTCAATAATTATGTCGGCAAAAATTAATTTCTAATCATCAATAAAAGACATCAACTCGGCGGCGGAAGAGAGGGGCGTGGGGGTTTATTGCTGTTTGTTATAAATTGTGAGGCTCCCTTTTAATGTAAATTACGAAAAAAATAATGCCAAATATTTATGTATATATTATTACAATATATAATAATAATAATAATAATAATAATAATGCTTTCGATGCTTTCTCACGCGACACATTTTTTCAACCAACTGCTGGAATAACATCAAGCCAATAATAATATTTTTGCTTGCTTCGAAACCTAGCGTAACAATATAGCACCTAGGGTTTTTGTACTTTTTGCAATAATTCGCTTATTGTTTTTCTTTTTTATTATTTACTACGTATATATTACTTATATATTCAAATATATATTGTAGAGTGACCACAAATAAAAAATTTGCGTACAAAAAAATATTTTAAAATAAAAATCAACTCTCTAAATTTGAATCATTTATTTTTCCATTATTTAACTATTTTTTACTATATTCCAAATTAATTATTTTTAACTGATTCAAATTTAGCGAGAGAAGAGAAAAAAACACTGTATTAATTAAAAATTAAATTAAATTCAATTTTTTAATTAATTCAAACGAATCAAAACAATTAAAAAATTAAAATTATTTAAAGTAAATTAAGAAATTATAATTCGTAATAATTAATTAAATTCACTGACAAAATTTTGTTTTCACTGACAAATAAATAAAATTCAATTAAATTTTTAATTAATTAAAATTTTTGATAAATTAAAATTAAAATTATTTATAATAATCTACAAAATTAAAATTTATAATAATTAATTCAATTCACTAGAAAAATTTTTGTTTTCACTGAAAAATAAATAAGGTTCCAGTAAATTTTTAACTAATTAGATCGAATTAAAATTATTTATAATAAACTAATAAATTATAAATCATAATAATTAATCCAATAAAATGAAAAAATTTCTGTTTGCACTGAAAAATAAAATTTTTAACTAATTCAAACGAATTGAAATTATTTATAATAAACTAATAAATTATAATTCATAGTAATTAATTCAATGAAGTGAAAAATTAAATTGAATTCAAATACATCTTTTAATTAATTAAAATGAGTTAAAATTATTTAAAATAATTTAATAAATTATGATTTATAATAATAATATGTTTAATTTTTAACGAAACATGTGATTTTTGTTTGTAATTTATAATAATTAATTCAATGAACTGACAATTAAATTGAATTCAAATAAAATTTTTAATTAATTATTAACTGAATTACAATTATTTAAAATAAATAAATAATACAAATTGATAAAAACTTAATTAAATAAATATAAATTTCATTACATTTTTTTAATTTTTTGACAAATTGTACTAAATTTTAAGTTCTTATTTAAATGAAATTTTAAATTCTTGGCTAAGAGAGCATGTTCTACACGGATTTTTACACTAAAAAAAATTTCATTTTTTTAATTTGCAATAAGAAACTTCTTCATTTTAATGTATTCTTTTATATAGGCTTTTAGAAAACTTTTATTTCTTATTCGCCTCATTAAAACTTGCTTTTTTACGAAATTAATTAGAAAAATCTGAATTTTAATATTGAATCAATATATTCTTTACTTTTCTTAATTAGATTAATTAGATAATTATTAATATAAGTTATAATTATATAACTTACATAATATAATTATAAATACAATAAATAATAATCAAATTAATTTAAAATTGTTTAAATTAATTTAAAAATTAATTATGTTACATTTTGTATTTATTAATAAAAAATTAATTATATTAATTTTGCATTAATAGACAATTAATATATTTATTAATATATTAATATAATTCATTTTTTAATAAACATTAATTTTTTGTACTTTTAGAAAATATTTCGAAATTTTTTTTTTAATGTGCACAAATTTTCTTTCTACGATCACTCTAATTTTTATGAACATATATATGAATATACCAATAAATATACATATATATTTCTATGTATATATCTGACCTCAGAATGTATACGTTATATACACAAAATATGCGATTATAAATTCAGAAAGGTTATTTAAAAAACAAAATAACCTAAACTTCATTATACTCAAGCATATCTCCTCTTTCTTTTTTTGCATTTAATTTTCTTTTATTTTTTCTTTTAAAGGAAAAAAAATCTCTCGCGCATTTGATATTTAATATCAATTGTACACTCATTCTTTCCCCCATTAATGTTTTCTATATAATCGTGGCGTGGTAATAATTCACTTCTTTTTTTTTTTTAATAACTAATTAATCTTTTTTTCTCTGTATTGTACAATATCTACAATGGGTCAAAAAACAAAACCGCTGATAAAAGTTTTACTTACAATTTCTTTTTTTAAGAACTCTGAATTTAATCGTTAATAATTATAACGTTTAAAAGGCTCTTCATTTTATCACATAACCAAGAGAGTTCTCATTTTATTTAGAATTGTTTCAATTATTTATATATTTATATTTATAATATAAATGTATGTATATGTATAAACATTTATTTGTGAAATTAAATATTTATTAAATTACAAATAGATTTTTATTATACGTATACATAATTTATATTATGGGATAATTTTTAATACCTCTAGCGCGAAAATTCAGTACCACACTTATCCGAACGGGTGATAAGTGCCGCGATTAATTACTGAGCAGTTATTTGTCCCAAACGAACAATAGAATCGAAAATTTTTGCCTATCAGTTCTGTTTCTTTTCCTTTCTTAACGAGAAAAAAAAAATTTCTCCCTACGATCAAGGAGATAAAAAAAAATATCACTATTCACATTTTTTTTTTTTAAATAGAAAAGAAATGGAAAATAAATAATTTTATACTCGAGGAAAAGTTCAGAACCATTTGAGCATTAGACAGAAAATTTCGAGTATTGTATATTTATATTATAACCGCGGAAAGTGTTTTGCTTTTTCTAAACACTACTCTCAGTAGAGATTTCGTTTTCTGTTTTACTATCCGAAAGCGTTGAATCCTTAGGTTTCTCATTGCTTTCAGTGCTGTCAACAACACTTGTATTCGTCACTTCTTCATTATTTTCGATTTTACAAGTTGCTATTGTTGTTGTTTCTTTAATTTGCAATAAATCCCGTAACCTTGTAATTTCACGTGCGTCTGTTATTCGTGCTTGTCGTAAAATTGCATTTTCAGATGACAATCGTTTTATAAGGTCAACAATATCCACTGGTAAATCAATACCCACTAGTCTTTCATTTAATTCAATAGCCGTTGATCCATCGAAATTTTGATCAATTTCAGGCGATGAGGTGACAATTTCAATGGCTGTTGTTGATTCACAATTGACTGTTGACGATGTGACTGCTGCACTTTCCTCTTCCTCATGATGACCTAATAATTTTTCTTCATGACAAATAACATCATTATTGACACTACTACTGTGTTCATCTTGTGTTTCATCTGCTGCTGTTGGTGCTGAAGGTGCAAGTGGAACAAATGCAGTAGTACCACTCGGCACTGGTGACGATGGTTTCTCAAGTTTCACACTAACTGGAAATGATTCGGATTTTTCATTTGGACTCGGTGAACGATGATTTTGATGACGACGACGCTCATGAGGATAACGACGATGATGTTGTAATGGAGTGGCAGGAATTAATGGTACTGTTGCTGCTATTGGTGCAAGTGCAACATTAGGCTGATAATGTGGCTCGAAACGTTCACAATCCGAGAGTGGTACTACTCGTTCCGGATGTTGGAGTACTGGTGGTCCTCTACTCAGATAAGCAGGAACCAATGGTGAACTAGAGTATAAAAGACGATTGTTAATCGCTATCTTTATATTATTATGCTATATTTCTAATCCAATTAGACCAAACCAACTAAAACTTAAAAAATACAAATTCTACTCTTTCACTACAGAAATTAAAAATCAAAAAAGCTGACCTGTCCCTAAGTTTACACGATCCAGGCGTATTCCAAGGCCTAAAAGCGGATGCACCCCTAGCAGCTAATTCAAAAACAGCCCATTGCATTTGCAAATAGGGATCATTAGCACTAGTCACTGTCGAAACAGGATGATAAAGGCCCAATCCATTTCCATTGTAAATACCACCTGGAAATTCTTCCTTCGCTATTTCCTTCTTTAATTTCTTTGCTAACTTCTCAGGTTCATACCGGAACTGGAAATTCAATAATTTCAATAAATAAACAAAGAACAATGACAAAATGTCAACACCTCATTCAAAACTGTTTTTAAACCACAAATCTTTGTTTACCAAAAAGAAAAAGCACACATCTATAAATAGTTGAGAAAATAATAGAAAAAGAAAAAATTCGAAATTTTCAAATAAAATTGAAAGCTTAAATTACTGAAAAGTAATCTTTTCCAATGAATGTAATTTAGAAATTCTTGGCAATCGCATTACGTTATCTGGTGAAAAATGATAATTATGAAGAACTTTAAAAATGTTATGTTAGGCTAACGCAAGTTTTTATCGGTATCAGTTTATCAGACGAGTCTGCAACTCAGAGATAAAAGAACGAAAAAAAAACCATTCTAGACTCTAGACAAAGCGACAGAGCGAAAGGAAAAGATATTTTTATTTAATTCAAGAAACAAACAATTTATATCAGCATGTTGATTAAATTTACATTGACCTTTTTCGTAAAAAAAAAAAAAAGTTTTTTTTCAAAACCCCAATTTACAAACAGTTTTGAAAAAAGTGCATTGTCAAAGGAGTATACCAGTACGTGATAAACAATGCTATCACGTAAAAATATTCGATCCCTTGACTTATCGATGATAATGATAAGTACCTCAAATTTTCGTTTCGAATTAGGAAGAAGATGTCTCTCCTTAAGTTCCTGAAAATAATTCACAACTTTATTGTAATGCCCCTGATCACGAGACAAAAGAAGATACGATCTCCAATTTGCCGAATCAAAACCCCAATGACATGTCCGATTTTCCAATGAACGATGTGCATGCCTCACAAATCTCGCTGGAGAAAACCTTAAACCACACTCTAAACACTCAATGCATGCCGAGTCCTCTGTAATAAATAAATCGGCATCAAAAATTCCCTTACACTTGCCAAAACACTCATGATACACTTTAAATCTCGAAACACAATTCTCGTCGACTTCTTTTTTATGAAGTTTCTTCTCTTCAAATTCATGTTCCTGTATTGGTATTGCCAAACAGGGCTCCGCACGGGACAGTAAAGCACTCACTAAACGTTCTGCATCGGTTTGTGTTATTAAACCACAAGATGGGGCATTTCGGGGTAAAATACCAGATAATTTAAGTTCCTCCAATTGATCGCGTGTACATCTTGAACAATAAATTTGTAATTCATCGCAAACTTGATTTATTTGTTGTAGGGAGAAATCTTGTAAAACTGTATTGAGTATCTGTGGCAGACATAACCTCCTTTCTCCACCCACAACAAAGCACGATATTCTCTCACCTTCGAGCAATGTTTCACACCTCTCCGAACAACTTTGATCGGGAGTTGTTAAAATTGGAATTGGAAATTCGAGTTCACGTTTTTCAAGTGGAATTTTCAGTCGTTCTGGTTGTGGATCATCGTCAGAGTCCTCGGGCAAATGACCCACCCTTGGATCTTTGCATAGAACTGGCACCGGTGATATTCTGTCCTTGACAATTTTACCACAACCTTCCGCAATTGAATCTGGGCCATGTGTTGGTGAGAAGCGAAATGCTGCTGCTTGTTCCTGAAGTAGACCTTTACATTCCATATCAAGTAGGGCCGAACTTGGACCCTGTAAACTCTTGACGGCTGACAGCTGATATGTTTTTAAAACAGTTTTCAGCTGTGGACTGTAGGATTGATTGTTTGTCTTGCCTGGTAGTAGCGTCTCCATTATGAATTCTTTCTCGATTATAAGTAGAAGAAAAAAAGAAATGTTTCTGAATTTGCACACGCGCTCACCAAATTTTCTTTTTTGCAAAAAGCAGATAGGTGATAAAGCGGTCCATCTTGTCAGCGACGACCCCCCCGTTGTGATAAATCTTTTTTCCCCAAGTCTGACCTCGTCTTCGTCGACGACGCGACGTCGTGTCCACGCACATGACACTGCTGACTCGGATTCGTCGTCCCCCTGACGTGTCCCCGAAGGTCGAAGGTGGCGGCCGTGGTGAGGAAACGCAAGCGCTCGAATCACAATCTCACATACACTGGCTTGGTTACATCTCACACACACACGACCCAAAATACAGGGCTCGGTCACGGGTACGGGTCGGTGGCCTGGGCCTTCTGTCCATCCGAGTGGCGATCAGCAAAACGACACATGTCCACGACTTATCATTATCACATCCTGAATAGATGGGAGTCAAAACACTTTTCGGAGCAACTCTCTTTTGCCTCGACAATTTTCCTCCTCTTTTTGACAGATATCACACCACCGATGAGGACAACGGCGAATTCGCCACCACTACCACCAACATCATCATCATCATCACCACAATCACACTTCTTCCCGTGGGCATTGTCAGACGACCGATTTACTTGGCACGCTGCGCCGCAATGGCGTATCGATCGAACACGCACGAACCAACAACGATGAACCACTGGCCGCGAGTTTACGCATATTTTTTTTAGCGCCAAGTCAATTCGAACCAGCCAGAAACACCAAGTAAACGGTCTACATCGCCCGACGCACGATACTCACAATGCTAACGCAGCATAGCCCTGATCATGTCCTGATATGCGCGAGCGCACTCTATTTTCCTTCTCTCTCTCTATATCTCTCGACACAAACACAAAGTGGTTGCAAGGTGCTCACATATAGAGGGAAAATAAGAGAGTGAGAATCATAAACATCGGAATCTTTGTGTGTGACTGTAAACACGAGGTTTTTGTCAGTGTGGAAAAGAGGCGAGCCTTCGGGGCAATTGTATATGACTACATATACACAAAAGTATTCGCTGCTGGTGGTGGCTCCGTAGTCTGTCTGCCATATTCCCCTTTTGCTCCACTACTGCCACGCCATCGTTGATGATCGTCGACGACGACGCCTTTATCCCTTCTATTCCTCTTTACCCGTGCATTGCACACAAATGGGAGACTGTTTGTCTAACTCACTTTTGAGGACTCTCTCACTTGCGCCACTAGTCATGTATATACATATCTTTAGAAACCATCAGGGATGGCAGAACTAATCTTAGGGCCAGACTCTCGTCACATCTCAAAACTAAACATTCTACATCAATTCAAACCGAATTTTTACCCATTCGTCCAAGAGTCTAATCTCTTTTACATCACATGTCATTTTTCCCCCCAAGTTCTCAAAAAATTTTCAAGTGACAATTCACCAATGACCCATATCATACTCTTTAGTATGTAATATTTAGTAGCTTTAAATTTTCAATTTTTGTGCCAAACGAAAATGTTTTAATTTTAAATACAAAATACGAAAAAATTTAAAACACCCCAAATTTAATTTTACAGATCTGAAAAGAAACAGATAGAAAGAAAAATTTTAAAACAAAATAAAGAAAATGTTACGAATAGGCATTTAAAAATGGAGCACATGTATTTTGTTATGGTCAACATGGATGTAGCCACATGTAAATACTTTGTTGCAAGTGGTAGGCGCGTAAGTTTGTGGTGTCGGTCAGCGGTCGGCCAAGCGTCTAGTCATGTGACCTTCTCTGCCTTCCCGTCAAAATAGCCCTGTATGATTCCGCAATACACCAATACAAATGCAAATTTTTCCTTAGTATTAGTGTATATTGCGTAGTTTCTATGTGTATTTTAACGCGTGCGCATAACTTTCAAGTTTCATATAAGATTGTACTAGGTTGTGTGAACCCATATACACAAACATTCTGAATATTGCATATGACTAACACAAGGAAAATGAGTGTACCAACACTTTTTACTTTTTTTCTTTTTCAACGGATATATACTATAGAGAGAGAGAGATATGTATATATATGTATGCAAAAAGCAACACTCTCGATCCAGTAGTCACGATATATAGATATATAGATTTCTGTTCCTGCTTCCTATATTCCGCCACACACACGGTACATTTTTCAGGCACGTGCAAATCAATTTCAAGAGTTAAATTCTACAAATTCCCTCGTGACCTTCAATATTTTTGATATCGCGTATTAGAATGACAAAATTTTGAATGTATATATATATATATATGCAAAAAAATATTACTGTAGTTTGAGAAAATAGAAAAGCTAAAGAGAATCAGCAGAAAGGTTCGCGGTATTTTAGAAATGTTTGATTCCAACATTTTTTTGAAATCGATTTTTGTAATTAATAATTGGGGTTCTTAAAAATGCTGTAAATAAAAATTCGACTCGTGTAAAAGAATGCGACGGAACTGTAAGCAAACGGTAATAATCATCAAACAGAAAACTTGATTTCTTGCAGCATTTTTCTAAACAGATTTCAATTACTAAAATTTTTGAAAGTGACTGTTGTATATTGAACATAAATTCCTTAGAACTTAAACTAAAAATTTGTACACAAAACAAAAAACTAGAAGCAAAAGAAAAGCATCAGCAAGAAGTAGAACTTATTTTCATGAGTCTCGTTTTTCAAAACAACAAACTTTATTGTTACGGAAACTTGAATGCAAATGTTGTGCTGAATTTCAGCTGCTTAGAATCACAAATTGAAAATTTTTGCAAGAGCACATTACTCAAAAAGTAAAAGCAAAGGAGAATCGTCAACAAAAAGAAAAATTGCAATTTGTTGCAGAATTTACGATCATCTTCTTGTTGCAAACTACAGATTTTATTGCTTTCTGCGAGAAGATTTTTGAATATGATTGTTGTCCTAAATTTAAGTTTCTTATTATTATGAAGTAAAAATACGTGCTAAGGAATATTACCACAAAATTAGAAGCAAAAGAGAATCGTTACCAAAAAGAAAAACGTATTTTATTACAGATTTTCGAATGTGATTGTAGCAGTACGAATTTAACTTTTTAAAAAAACGATTTGAAAATTGTGTCAAATATTATTATACAACTTTGATAGCAAAAGAAGATCATAATCAATGAAAATTTATTTTGTTACAACATTTTTCACAGCAAAGAAAACAAATTTTTATTAAGTTTTGAGAGGAAATTTTCGAAAGTACAATTGTTCTGCTGAATTGAAATTGATGTTCAGAATCACAACATGAAAAGTTTTGTAAAAATTATTCAAAATCGTTCAGAAAAAAAGGAAAAAAATGGTTGCTGTATTTTTCAGTATACAACAGACTATGAATTTTTCAATACGATTGTTGTGCTGAATAACGAGAAAGACAACAAATACAAGAGTATAAATTTTTTAAAATCACTTAGGGCTGAAAAATATTATCAAGAAACCGAAAGCAAAAGAGAATCACTAAAGAAGAAGTTCTGGAAGATATTTGTAACTACAATTAAGCACATTACTGCAGCACTAGACAAAAATTCTTATGTACTAAAGAAATTATAACCAATTATTACATCAGTTTTAGCAAAGTTTCTCTAAGGATATCAAATTGAGACAAAAAATGAAGCAAAAATATTGCGAAGTAACATTTTGCTTCATTTTTATAGTCTCAATTTGACATCATTAAAAAAACTGCGAGTCCAACATAAAATTTACCAACAAAACCAACAGATAATTTATATAAATACAAATACCGATCCTATTCAAAATTATTTAAAATAATTACAATTCCAGTTATTAAATTACAAGACAACAATTTTTAATTAACGGACCAAAACTAAAAATTAATTTCTCATATTTACTCTTATCTTAAAATAAAATTTTCTCTCTACTAGTGTCGCAATGAAGATTGTATCTATCACTTAATATGGAGTGTCAAATGCATGTATGAATTGTGCAGAAAGAGAGAGAATTTTCTTCATTGATCTAAATTAACAGAAATGCTGAAATACATCTAAAGCAGAATTTCAAGAAAAGTCATGAAACAATAATTTTTTCCTTGTAAAAACTCGCTTCGTGAAATTAAAACATATACACATTACAAATATATAATACTCCAATTTTGTGACTCACTCAATTGGCTAAGTATTTTAAATATAAAATTAACTATATTATACAGAAGCACCTATGTATATATACAAGAAAATAAAACAATTTTTGTTTATATATATTTAACTAGGTATTTAAAAATACTTCTATTTGCATAGTCAATAAAAAAAAATTTGCAATTCTTGAATGAAAACTGTTGAAATCTATTTACACACATATATATAGATACAAACACTAAAAATTAAATATAACCATTATTCAATATGAAATTTACTGCTTTATATATATATATATATATATATATATATATGATGATATTAATTTCCACCAAAACTGTGATTTCCAAAAATATCTTGAAAACTTGACGCGTACTGTTATAACGATCGATTAAAAGCAATTTGTAATTAGTTCATATAAAAGATTTACTTATTTGTCAGATAATAAACGACCTCATTCAACTTCAGATCTCTTTTATTACATATTTTGCAAAATATATTTGTCGTGAGAGATGGAAAATTAAATTAAAATTCCAGAAAAATTCTCCAAGTGAAAAACTTATTTAAAAATTTCTCTTATTATATTTTAATTTTAAAAGAAGAAGAAGAAGAATCCTACAAATTAATAATATGGTCCAATTTCATTATTTCGTTTTTATTTATTTACATAGTGAATTAATTTAGACGCAGGCAAAGTAGAAGTGAAATAGTATTTTAAATAAGAGAAAACAAATTAAATTTTTAATATTTGTCTTTGGCGGAAAAGTGAGGAATTTAATTATCAACATTTTTAAACAATTAATAATAGTTGTATGTTAATAAAACTTTACAATTTACATATATTTGACTCACTCTTTAAATTTCAGTTAGTA